GGGGGGGTCATGGTAACAAAGATAAAAAATCGGTCGAGAATCGGCATGGAGGTAATGATAACTTCGGCGATATAATGACCGTCGAGATGCGAGTTGTAAGACAGAACTGAAAATAATCTAATTATTGGTGAAAACGATTATAGTAATTAGGAGAGCCGGTATGAGAAGGTCCCAATTGGGAGCTGGTGTAACGTTGGTGGAACCCGTGCCTTCCAAACGTGGTAGTGGTGGTAGTGAAGGTACTCTCCTGCGGCGGACCCCTATTAGAGGCCCAAATGAAAAGGCGTATACAGGAACGGGCCCTTTCGAAGAATCACAGAATGAAATCGAGACCAGGGACGTAATTATGTAGGAATTTGGAAGAAACTCAATCTCCTGTCTCGGGGCCCATTCTGGTACAATGGGCCCGGGCCCCGGCAGTCCCAAACGGCAAAACCTTGCGTTACGGAAACCTGCTCATTATTTTTGTATTTCTTAACGGAGAGCTCTGATGTATATATAGGTATATCGCGTAGGGTATACCGATGTGATCTGTTTTTTTGGGGCCGGGGGGGGGAGGGTAATCACTATCGTTATCTTTGACATTGTTGCTTTGGATAATAGGCATTGTTGTGCGTGGTTATCGCTATGTTATGGCTGTCGATACTGATGGACTGGTACTCAGAAAACGTAAGTGGGGACAAGTTACACTATTTTGGACGAGTCGAACTTTTTGGAAAAATTTTTTTTTTTTTATTAGCGCTACGTTGGATTTTTTTTAAGTATCTTACAAGTCTGACTAAGGGCTAACGATTAACAATGAGATTAGCGCTCGTAGTCTTAATTGGATGCACCAGCTGGCAGGGGCTGCTGTGTCTATGACAGTGCTTGGCTGATTTAGGGGTAGTTGGTACTAGGCGGTAGCTAATAGGGTAGTTTAGGTAGACAATGTAGTTAAGTATAAAGGTACCGTTAGCTCGCGCCTTACCGGCATTAGAAAGGGAGTTAGGTATGTACTTTTGAAAACAGGAGGATCAATTAAAATTGACAAGTGTCCCGTGGTGCAGACCTGCCCTTATTGTACTAGGGTATACCGGAGGCTGTAGGTATGATGAGAGAAAGAGAGAAAGAGAGAAAGAGAGAGAGAGAGAAAGAGAAAGAGAGAGAGAGAGAAAGAGAAAGAGAGAGCTAAGAACCGAGAAACTGAACTACAGTTGGTTTATAAATACATTTACTAGGATGACGTAGAAAAATTTGAGAAATAGGTATTGACATTTTTTTACTCCGAAAATTTTTTTTTTTTTTTTAACTAAACAGTACTCGAATGATTAATCGGTAGCTGGCGGATGTAGGGGGTTGGCACATTAAAGGTTTGAGTATACGGGGGGGTAGGTCCGGAATAAGGGTGAGTTGTCGGATAACTGGTCGTAGAATGTTCGGCCACGACGATATAGAGGGTGGTCGAGGGGGTGGGTGGTAGCGAGTTAATGAGATTACTTTCCAGAGGGCCGAGGGATATGAGGAAATCTGATTGGACGTTGGAAAAGATCATAAAGGCGAGTAATTAGAGCGAGCTTTGTTAGCCCCTACAATGGGCCTTGGGTGAGAGTTATTTCCGTTGTATCCGCGAAGCCGATTGGCCGGATCGATCGTTCCTACCAATCCGAGCGTCCAGCGTGCCGACGGGTCTCGAGTAGCTCGCAATCAGCGAGTCAGTCGACCCCAGGACGGGAACCGTCGTTTTAGAATCGGTTATCCGGGCAAATTAGCAGCCGGAAAATTAGGCCTTTGATGTCGGCACGCCTACGATTGTATTCGCCTTGCGAGAGAGTGGAAAGATTGGACATGGCTCAAGTGAACCCTTATGATCTTCCCTCAGTATCCTTGTGCGAGCTTGCGGTTCCTTGATTCGAAAATGGGAAACGAGTTTTAGGGAAGGGAGGGAAAAAAAAATATATATTTTTTTTTTCATCCACTCGTTCATCCCCATTTCGAAAATTTCATCTTGAGTTACGCCCTTGCTGTCAGAATATACAATCTTAATGACTGTGGGTAATGTATCCAGAGAATTATGCTTTTTTTTAGGGGTGGCCGAATACACTCCCTGTCTAGGATCTGCCACTCCGGCTGTAACGGTATCCGGGGGGGTTTGGGCTCCGGGTGTTTTAGCGAACGAGAGACGGAAGACTCTTGTAGGTAATAGGATTTTCCATCGAAGCGTCGCTGGCAACCGCCACAAAGATGGCTGGTGTGTTAGTACCTGGCAGTATGGTACTGAGGGGGATGGTATAATTAAAACAATAGAATGCTTAATTAGAGTGGATAACCGGTGGGTGGTGGCTGCAGGGGAAAGCCAAGGCAAAGTAGTAGTATGGAATAGTCGTAAAATGTCGGTTTTACTGGCCGAGCCGCAGTGCTTGCTGGTATCCGGAGTTGCGGCAGGTGAATGAATAGATCCTACTCCAATCTACCCTTAATTTATCATTGTGTATCTTCTCAACGTGGCCGATAGGCGTAAGCGGACAGAACCGAGCTGACGGTTTATTTCGGTAAGAAAGGTGAAAAAAAATTCGTTAGAAATAAACCGTAGGAAATAGCTGTAGTACATTGAAGTACTGTACCTGTAGTCGATGATAGAGTTTTCACGTACGATGGGAAAACAAATAAGGTCCTCATACGCACGATCTTGAAAAGCACCTAGTAACCTTATAATTTCATTTCTGTTCCAGATACAGCGTAAGAAACAGTCGAAGCAGCAGTGACAAGGCCCCGCGAGATTCGCGGAGGCCCAATCGTAGAGAAGAGCTCGAGAAACAGTGAAAGACACGTAACAAGGTGCCTAAAGACGTGTAACAGGGAGCGCGTGAAAGGAAGAGAGAGCCCGTGAGGCCCAAAAGGTCCTCGAAGGACTAGACATATTATTTCCATAGTGTTAGCGGTGGGCGCCCAAGGCCCACCCTTTCATCGGTCAAGCTGGCGAGCGCTCTTACCGCTGGTATGAACCCCCACCACCCGGGCCACCCTGCCGCCTACCCCCATCATCCCTCGCTTTCGAGCAGTCCCCATCATTCGGGACCCGGTGGGGCCCACCATGGGTATTCAACCGGTGGCGGTGGGACGACAACGACCCCTGACCTCCCCAGTCCTCACTCGCCGCCACACGGGGCACCGTCGGACCCAGGCGCGCCGTACACCACCCTTTCCGGAAGTCAAGGAATGGGAAGCAACGGACATCATCACGGAGGCGGAGGGATGATGCCCGATCATCCGCATCATCCGGGTCATCTTCACCCACATCATCCAGGCCACCCTGCTTACCCCCCCGTTAACCACAATAACAACTGCACGTTAAAGGTTAGTCCCAAATTTTATCTTCCAAGTCAATGCATACATCATCCAATGCCCAGATGCACTTTGCACCTCGACACTTGACCCTGCGAGCTAGGGCCGGCATATCTTCGATTCCGAGGAAGAACGGAAGACCTGCTACTATTATCAGGCCCCACTTTCTAGCTGGGGCATTAGTGTGACGTGACTAGGAGGCGTAGTGTCGCGTGAGAGAATAAACCGGGTGAAAGTTTTAAAACCGGAAGTTTGCGGTGAACCGTGCAACAGTCGAGAATATAGGGTTGGCTGATTCGTTGGGTCCTCATCATTTACCCAGTTCGGTAAGGCCCTTCTTAATGACGCCCCGCATTCGATACGTACGTCCGAGAGGGACTTTGTATTTTGAGTATTCTCAAAGGAAATTTGGAAAGTCCCGAGCGACCGTAACGAGAAAGATTATACGACGGCGGATGGGAATGAAAATGAAAGAAATTTCGAGAGAAGGGAAAAAGGTTGGTAAGCCTGAAATTCTACAGACAGTTTTCCGTCCGCGTTGTACAGCTACGCGACCCTCACTTAGCTCGCCATTGACAAACGTAACAATATGGGCATTTACCATGGTGGAATATAATTGAATAGAGCAGTACGAGGGACCTCGTGGGGAACAAGAGAAGGGGAACGTTGGCGGGTTAGCGGGGAGTGGGACGCAAGCCCGATACACTCTCGTTCTCTTTCACTGTCTATATATATATATATATATATATATATATATATATATATATATATATATATATATATATATATATATATATATATATCTTCTCTCTCTCTTTCACTTCTTCATCCTTCGTCTTTGTCAGCACGGTCCCTTCCCCTTTGAGCGTTAGTTAGGCCCTTTCTAGGCTCGCCTTTTTATTCTCCCCACTGCTGCGACGGGGTACCTGAACCCGGGCCCGCAAGGCATTCAGTCCCAAAGCGCTCTGTCGGGGCCGACCAGTCAGTTGGGGCCTGACTTCGGTCGGGGCAGGTTCGCGTACACTTATATACTCGTGCCAGCGCTCTTCTGCTCTCTCTCGGGTCTTACCGATTTTTTTCTCCTAGACGTTTCAAGTGCGTCGTTCGCTACGTTAACGCTACCACGTCTGCTTACATGAAAATTTCTTTGTGCCACTGTTTTTTATTTTCGTTCAGAAGCTAAAAATCCATCTTCACGAAAACGCGATATCTTGACTAGCCGTGTTTTTCATTGATACTACGTGGCGTGAATCGTGATCTGTAGTTTCGAGTGTACCAAAGGCGTCTGTACTGTCGCAAGTCTATCCGTATCGCGAGTGAGTCCCAAAAAGTAATCAAATACAAATTGGGCATTGGTGCTTGGTCGGTAATACCGAACGATATACGTGTGACTCGTCCAACAACGTAAAAGTGGTCTGCCAGGTACAGACTGTAGGAATCCTATCAAAGAGGACGAATCAGAAAAGACATAACACACATACGATCCACGTATTATATTAGAACGTACGACCATGGAGGTTCACGCGCATCACTACAGAGCCATCACGTCACGCATGAATCAGATGAAGTTCTTTCCTGGAGACAAAATCGTAAGGATCCCACGGTCGCCAGTGATTCTCAACCAGTCGGATTGCAAATCGTTTGGAAATCCATACGATGCAAATTTTTATTAATTTGCCGTGATTACATTTTTTTTTTGTTTTTTTTTTTTTCATCAGTGACGATTTCCATTTTTTTTTTTTATTTATACCAACCAAACGTCAATCGTACGACAGAGAGTCTTACCGTTGGACCGCTCGTTGAAACGAAATTACAAAATTTGTTTTGGACTGTCAAACGGCACTTCCGACCGGTTCAGAATGAAATGGTTGAAAATACACGTAAATTGCGCACCGTAGATCCTGGTAGACAGGATTCAAAGAGAAAACTCGTCTGTTACATATCCGCAGCAAGAGGGAGGTCCTGGTGGATCCACAAGTGTCCAGCAGTGTGCAGGATGCAATGGTCGGATAGTGGAAAGATGGCTGTTACACGCGCTGGATCGCTACTGGCATAACAGCTGTCTCAAATGTACCATCTGTAACGCAGCATTGGCGGACATTGGTCAGTCGTGTTTCACCAAAGGCGGTATGATCCTCTGCAAGAACGATTACACCAGGTGAGTCAGTTGAACGTAATTTTTTATTTATAAATTTTATACGGGGTCACAGGGTCAAGAATGCCGTAAATACGTGTACCCGGTCTAATACGTACCGGGCAAGATCACTCGATCTCCTTCAAGAGGTATAACAGCATCATCCATTCTGATCCATCTTCGTGGATCTTGGGTTGCCCCCCGATGGTAATTTGCTGGGGACCGTTCCAAATTTAGAGGATTCGAGGTCAGAGCGCAATTTAATGAGAAACAGACGCGACTTAGTTAGCAGCCCCGCTTTCTCGGAAATAGATCTACTCCGCGTGGGCTCACTCATTTCATCTTACTGTCCGACTGTCTTTCAGGCTCCTGCCTAGTGTCGTTTAAGCGACGATTTTTAACTGCGCGTCAAGTGCCAATTATCCTGTCCCCTTATCGGTGGCATGTGATAGTGAACAATTTTTTTTTCTTTTTTTTTTAATACTATACACAGGCGTACAGGCCCGGAAAAGGCTGCCGCGACGCCTGTATCCGTTACCTAAACTTTGTTATTGAGCTCGTCGGTATCTACGGGGTGTTCTATTAATTTCCTACTGGCTTGGTACAGCACCGGGGCTCGTGTTATATCAGAGGGCCAGTGCATCAAGGTGCTTTTATTCGGCTTAAGGGTGGAAGTGGCTCAGACCCTTAAACGTAATTCCTCATACGGTTACGGTTACGTCTGCGACACGTACGTCCTAATCTGTTGGCGTAACGGGAACGATTTAGCTTGAGCCGTATCAATATTTGACCACGAGACGCCACCCTTGACGATGTTAAGGGTTGGGGCTGGGATATGTGCTCGGCACCTACTCTCGTCATACCCCGATGTACGTGAGCATATTGGCGCGTTGGTTCATTTGGAGATGTCGCGTAGTTGGGACCTTTCGGCATTTACATGAGAGCGAGCGAGTCCTTCGTGTGGAAGGATCAGAAGGAAGAGGGGTGCTTCTGGCGAGGGTAGCAGGAAAGTATGGTAGCGAACTGGTATGGTACATACTATACGGTATGCCAGGGTGAATGGTATATATATATATATATATAGTATAAAGGTACCGAGGAGAACGGGAGTTCGTTTCTTTTGGATTCAAGGAATGTTTCAATCAGTTTGATTGAAGGGCTGAGCTACGGCAAGAGGGTAAACTCGATTTACAGCCGTGTAGGGGTGGATGTGGGTGCAGGGATGGAGGACGAGGGTGAGAGGAGGTGGTAGCTGTCGGGAGTGCCGGGTGTTCCTCTGGA